GAAACTGGAAATCATATTGTCTCAATCTGATGTGTTCGCATGCAACCACATGTCATTCAGTGATGCGATACTGTTGTAGGTTTGCTTCAAAAAGACAGTATGAGTTCAAGAGTGTAAATTAATTACAAATACATATGGATATGAGCGAAAAATGTGCGTTCACATTGTAAAGCAATACATTACAGTTGAGGTTTTTGAAAATGAACTCAACGGATTGGTTAGAAACACTTCAGGGATGATCTAGCAATATATTCGGATTGTGAAGTTGATTGAAAATTTCTTGTGCACAACAATGTTTTCAATGCTTTCAAAACAAGTCGATGGATTGGATTTTGCATGCTAAAACTGAAACACTCCTTTCACTTTCCTTACGTGATCACGCATCATCAATATGAAACCTTCCCTAATGTGAATGTAGATGTCAATGCTGACAATGCATGAGGTTTAAATCATAATGGAGTGAATAGTCGTCCACTATGAGTAAAATCTATTAACTTGTCACCAGTGTTTTAAGCGTCAGTATACGCTTGCTCTGAGTATATAGAATTAATTTACTTCACTGTGATTTGAGTTACGAGGTCATTTTACCAGAGTGAAGGATCACCATTTGACTGTTGAATCACATGTTTCATTCGTAGTCTTCAAATTGATCACTTTGTAAACGTGAGATACGTGAGATAGATTCCAAATTACCAGATGGCTTTCATGAGTTCATCGAAGTGGAGGAAAAGTCAACTGTAAGGCTTTGTGGCTAAGAGATGTGAGCTCAGCATATGTTTCAGCACAACATGAAACCACTTGTTATAGACATCCAGACCGACGTTATTACAAATGTCCCTAAAGACGTTGAGCGCCGAGTCCCTTGTGTCCGCCTACAATGTCAGTTACAACAGTGCGATTTCAGAGATCACGAAGAAGTTCGACACCTAAATAGTCCTCTCCATGACTCCCCTCACACTCTCCATCACCAACACCAATAAAGCAAAGGATATTACGGCTTCAAAGCTGAATCAGGAGAAAGTTCGACTAAGCCTTCACAGATTTGATTCCAAAGAATGAACTGTGCATTTAACCCAACGTTGTGCACTATGTTCTCCTCACTAGATCATGGAGGTCATGCAACCCCTGTACTTGACATAAATTACCATCAATGCCGAGTGAATTATTGCTTCAAGTTCCATCTTTCCTCCTCTGATAACGAAATATATAAATTACTCATAGCATGTTAGTATCTCTCCATCGATCAACACGTCCTTATTCAATGCACTAACTTATTCCCCTTATCAGGTCAATGAATTGCTAGATACATTTTTATCGCCTTGCAATTCGTGCAGTTGTGGTAGTTGATTCGTCTTGCTTAACCATTGGAAAACGAAATGTTCTGTCTGGCAGTGAGAGTGTTGTTAGTCAAAGGAATAAATCGGATTCAACTACTGCTCACGTGTACGCTGAATACGGTTGCTTTTTTCATTTTATCCTTCCCAAGAATCCTTAATTACCAAGTGGTTTGGTACGACTTCATCACTTTCACCATATTCATACCATCTCCGTTACACTATCCAACAGAGTGCATGTGTGTGCTCACTTTCTAGCTCACATCAAAGTTCTGTGTGTGTGTGTGTGTGTGTGTGTGTCATCCTTCAAGTTGCGTAGTTATTTACAAACAAACAAAACAAAGAAGGGTATTCACCTCAGTCGCCTACACTTTACATCATTTCAATGTGAAGAACCACAATTCATGGTTATTTTTCTGATTTTTATCATCATCACATTTAAGATCCCGAAGGTAGTGGAAGACATATTGGGGGACCTCAAAATCAGAAGAATTGATCATCTACAAAATTGGTTGCGCAGATTGTTAACATCGCTGTGTTGACCAGTTTAGTCTGTAAATTGTCTGAAGAGTTTATCAGCATCAAATAGCAGTCAAGCGACCTGACATGCCTTCATTAATATCGGTGCATGTGGTTGAACACAATCACAAATTCGAAACACTATGGAAATATTATAAAGCGAAGGCTTTACAAAACAAGAGATTACTTGAAAGTGTGCTACTGCACTCCAAAGGCAATCCCCATGCTCGTGAACATGTAACCAATGTAGAAATAACTGAGAATGAATCAACCAACTCGGAATTTCATGATGAGGGAGAATATTTGTAGATCAGGAGATGACTTTGACGGTGTTGCATTCTCTGAGCTAAATGATTCAATCGTGAAGCCTTCACTGTCATTCTAGACAACAACATCAGCACGAACTTCAGAAGGAATCATTCAAGCAAATCAACAGTCATAAATTAGGTAATTGGCATAGGTCAAGAAAAACAAGCAGTTACTCTCATAGCACAATTATGTACACTGCAGTAGGAGTGTCAAGATGATGGTGTTTGTTTAGGGCGACACGAATTCCAGATGAGGTGTGTTCCCCAGTAGGAAAGTGGAAGCTTCGAAAAAGTAGGCACTTAAAAATCCCTTTGACTGAGGCTTATTGAGAAAAATATCAAATTTTCTCAAGAAACAGAGACAATTATCCAGAAGAAAACAGTAGCATACGGTTAAATGGCCACTCAAGAAGACGAAGCAAAGGTTTGATATCCTGCAGAAGTAAAGAACCTTCTCTTTCAGAAATATCAAGCGGATAGTAACTCCTAGTGTAGGAAGACAGGAACTGCGTGAAGCCAATAAGTACTACAAGGCAGCGCATCGATCAACTAAGTTGACCAATGATAGACCCAAGTGGTGACTACAAAAGAAGAACACAACTATTGACACAGGAGTATAAGAAATCTGCACACTGTACTCATTGGTGTAGACTTATGAATACAAACCAACTTTCTGTCAGTTCTCCAGCTAACAATAACAACAACTCAAAGGATTAGGCACCAAATTTTCAACCGGTAGGTTATGAAATCAAAACGTATTCCACCTGAGCATGAAATTTTGTAAAAAAAAAATAACTTTCCCAGGCGAAATACCGAAGCCTGATTGATCATTTCAGCAGCTGGTAAGGTGGCCTTTAAAGTGACCAGGCAACATCACAACCGTTAAACGACAATGTGATGACTAATTTTCTCGAACATGAAACTGCTCATGGTTGTTTATTTGCATTATATGCCAGGAATTCAACCATGTAAAAAACAATCGCAGCGCATATTCTTACATTTTGCATGGACTATTGAAACTGTTAAGATAAGAGATAATTGATATCGAGTTAAGTTTCACTAAATAACTATTAAAGATAGATTTGATATACCAGTAACCACAGTGATCAAGTCATCTTTATTCACTAATCTGAACAAGAAAACATTGTCGAATAAATGAAAAGACAATTATGCAGCTTCATAATCTATGCAAGAACAAAAATTTATCAAAAGGACAGAAGTTAACAAATTTGCATTTCTAGCTGTTTCACATGACATAGATAAACACATTTATGTACACATACACACTCGTAAAAGTCAGGAAATACAACCAGCTTCACAAGCACAAGTATCTTAAGCATAAATTTTGGTATGAGATTGAAACAAAACAATCAGTTGTCCATATTGAAAGAAATGAAGGAAGGTCTGAATGTTATTTTAGAGGTCACTGAACTGGTAAAGTGAAATTTTCTCGAGTTATAAATCATTCATTGATATTAATCAGATAAGAATTAAGGATTACGGATGCAATACTCTACATGGACCTAGTATTATTATTATCATTATTATTATTATTATTGCTATTATTATTATGATTATTATTTGTCCCTTGAGTTCTTAGTGGAACAAAGGGCTTCAACAGCACATCACCATTTCAATCTCTTCGCTGCAGTCTAATTTCACCTAGCTCCATGACTTGTCCAAAAGCTTCCATTTCTTCCTCACCCTCGCCTTGGACGCCCATCTCGTCGTTCCCCACTCGGCTCCCACTCGAAAGCCTGGTCTACCGCGCGATGTCCCCAAACGGTCTTCTCAGTGTATGACCAATCCAATCCAATCCAATACATTTGCACTTTCTCCTGCATATTTGTTGGGTGATGGGTTGTTGGTTGGTTCGTTGACAGACACAATGAGCTCCTTGTTGCTTATTCTTCCTGGCCTTCTGATGTGATCTTCAGTACGGAGTGAGTGTAGGTGGCAGCTGTTGATGAATGTCTGTAGTTTGTTGGAAATGCTTTTCGTGACCCGCCAAGTCTCTCAACCATCACATAGAAGCACTGAATTACTAGACTGATATTAGTGTTGAAAATCCGGATGTTGTTCACGCTTAATGCTGAGTGCAGTAGATCTCCACACTGGAAGGAAGGCCTATCTTGCTGTCTTTCCGATCGTGGCATTGACATCCTTATCTGTGCCGCCGCCTATAGTTGAAACGATGCTACCTAGGTAGTTATATGAAAGAAACAACTTCCTTTAGATTCCTCCCGTTCATGGTGATTGTCGTTTGGGTATCTTCATCACCTCTGACTTCTCTACGTTCATCTGAAGTCCCATTTTCTCTGCCTCTTCTCCCAACTTATTAGTTTTCGCCTGTAGATCTTCAAGGTTACGAGTTCATTAGTTCACTAGCCGGTTTTGAGCCCGGAAAAAGAGAGAAAGTTTGAGCGTGGGGCTATTGACCCTACCCCGAAAAATCAATCCAACCGCTAAAAAAACTTCAAAGCACAAAAAATATAAAAAATAAACTCATTCTTATCTGGAATTAGGATGGTGAAAGCCTTCGAGAAGTCAACTGGCCAATGTATTTTCCCTTTTCTCGATGAAAGCAAAAGTAAACATGGGGACATGGAATGTCCGCACCATGTTTGAAGCTGGCTGGCAAGGCTGCCCAGATTGCAAAACAGATGAGGAAGTATAGCATAGAAGTGCTAGAAATTTGTGAAAGCAGATGGAACGGAAGTGGACTCTCCAAACTGTTAACTAGAAAGTCAATAATATACCTCGGTCATCCAGATGACAGTCACAAGCACACTGAGTTATGGAGTGGCTGTCATAATGTCCCTAAGAGTATCGAAGGCAGTGGGAACCAATGTTCTCCAGGATCATGATAGCAAGATTCAAATCAAAAGAAATGAAAGTTACAATCAAACAATGCTACACACCGACAAATAATGCAGACCAAGAGCAGGACATCGGTATATACACTACCCTAATACGAATAATACAAATATTATCGATATGTTTTGCTCAATCTATATCAAAAAGTACTATGAAGTACAAATACAAGAGGAGAGATCGGTTTCAGTAATTTAATTCATAACTTAAATCAACGTTATCAACACTCTATATTTACGATTCCAATCGTGAATATTTTGAGGCAGTGTCAATGCTGTTGAGAATAGGACTTAAATAACATACTTTTAAATAAAAAGTTACAAGCACAAACCACACTTCATCTACTTGAATCGAGTTGAAATGAGTTATGATTATCATTACTTATATCGCATAACAGACTGGTATTAAGTTAAAAAGTGGCTTTCTAAATTATATGATTAACTATAAAAAATAATTTTTTCAAGACCCATGATTCAACCAAAGTATGGTATATGACACTAAACAAAAAATCATCCTCTTGTCAAAACGAAGTAAAATGAACAGGAATGATAATATATATATGTGTGAAAAAGGTCACTGTATATACTCACCTGGAAATGAGGCGATGATACACATTTAGCTAACTGTGTAAAAAGTGGCCTGATAACTTTTCGAAATTCGGATGGATCGACAACATCAAGGATTTCTTCTAATTCATTCAAAAACATCACCTCTTTAGGACTATGTGTTTTTGGCCAAAACTTTAACAAACTTAGAACAACCTAAAAAGAATGGGAAAGAGAAGCGAAAAGGTCATTTTTCCAGTATATGGAAAGTTTTTTTTAATGACATAAACATGTAACTCTATCAGATAAACAGGAGAAAAAAATCAACGTTGCCATACTTTACAGTAGCATACAAAGAACAAGTGGATAGAAAAAGAGTGATTAACAAAGTGAACAAAAGTATGTATGAGAAAAGAGAATTCGAAGGTAAAGGTCAGCATGAATATTCAAACTTTGAAAGATAATAAAGAGAGATTACATCCGCTCCATTGTGACCGATTTTCAGGCATTTCACCAACAGTACTCAACAACTCATCTCGAAGTCCCCAGGGAGATAGTTTACATCTCCCCACAAGGTTCAGATCAATAGTCACGAACTTCATCAACTGGTGCCACGTCTTCATCTGGCCACCCTGAACCCTCTTCCAACCTAATCCAGCTCCCCTAGCATGGTACGCCAAGGTAGGCGGTGGCTGGGCGTGCTGAATACAAGTCCAAGGCATCGCAGTCGACTAAGGTTCATAACCCCATCGATCGACTTGCCTTCCTCGCCTAATCTCGACAGTGCTGACACGGTGATTCCGCCAAACACGAGCAATTCTACGAAGACACCTGTGATCAAAACTGTGTAGCCACTTCGTATTTACTTTTAACGACCATTTCTCAAACGTATAACAAGATAGAACGGACTACAGCGTAGTATACTCGTCGCTTGATAGGAAGTCAAATATCTCACTAGTCGACGCCACAGATGATGCAAGCTGGTAAATGTTAAACAGGCCTTGTGTCCCAGCTGAGACTTAGTCAGGAACAAGTCTGTTCAGGCTGATGCATCTCCCTAAGTAAGTGAAGTGATCAACGCAGTCTACCACTCCACCTGCTTTCTTTACACTAGGAGTAAGTGTACATCAGGAACAAAGTGATAGATGTATTCTGTAACATTCAGGAAAGATATGTAGGAAATTCTAGGTATGACTCGGACTCACTGTCGTGGCAAACTGTAACAAATAAATGTCAGTTAGGGGGACCACTCAACTATCCATATGTGTAGTTGTACAAGTGGTTAGGCAAAGTGACGTCTACTTATGCATCATAGTATGAAGTGAAATGTGTATAAATTTTGATGTGCGAAACAAGTAACTGCTCGAAATTTCTGCAAACTTCGAAGATATTCACCTATTAGAGATGGTTACAAAAGCATGACCCCAACTACAACTTATAATCATGAGCAGTACTTCTGATAATAACTGAATGCATTTGGCATGCCAATGCAGAATGTCTTCATCAAAGCGTGATTATTATCAGAAGTTTTAGTCGGGCACAAGCTTTTGTATCAACCTCTAACAGGTGAATATGTTCGAAGTTTAAACAAATTTCGAGCAGTCGCTAGTTTCGCACATCAAAATCATATGTACAGTCCACTTCATACAATAATAAGATGTCACTTTGCCCAACCACTTGTATAACTACACATATTGGTAGTTGAGGGATCCCCCTTACTGATATTTATTTATAGTTTGCTATACCAGTGAAGCCGAGTCATGCTTAGAATTTCTTAGATATCTTTCTTGAATGTTACAAATATATCCACGACCGTATTGCCGGTTTGATTTGTATTTGAAGTGAAGTCAGACAATGGTGAAACAGGTTTGTCCAAACCAGTCTTTCCAGAAAGAATTCCCTTGTAGACAGCATGGGCGTAATGCAAATAGGTGAATACCACCCGAAAACTAGAGGACGGAAAACGGTCGATAGGAAGTAGATATACATGAATTTCAAAAAATGTACTCCAACTAACCTGCTGGGTAAGCGTTGGGTCTTTTTCTAAAAATTGTATAACACAATATGCCAACTGAGCATGATATATACTAACTGACTTCACCTTATGCAAAGGCAAGAGGACACGCATCAAAAATACTTTGTGTTCTTCTTTCAAAGGTAACGCAAATCCGTTGATAATACTAATAAAGAAGCCAGAGAAAAGAAAATGAAGAACTATATAGAAATAGAATGGCAATTAAAAACACCAAACTCTCTAACAAAAGTAACAGTGGAACCATTGATACGCACTAACAATCCAATTATATAAAAGTAGGGATTCTACGACAACTGTATTACATATGAAAAAAATTGATAGTTCCTTCTAACGCGGAAATAGTATCCCATGCAAAACCGTTGGATACATGACATGTTAGCTAAAATATAGTTAATGGAAAGATTTCGCCCTAATTAAGATTCATCAGAAATCGGGATTAATATTTGCTCATAGATTTTAAACTGCTGCTTGAAAAATGTTAACTATAGTTAAACTCAAACGCGGCATTGATTCATGTAGTCTCTGAATTTCGATCTGAATAACAACAGAAACCGATGGTTGGAGACGGTAATGTATTCATGTATTATTCTTATCTTAACCATTATATCATATTTTACTGATCTTGGTGACTAGCAGAGGAATCCAGGACGTACGTTTCGTCCCGTGTGGGACTCGTCAGCTGGATGTGCCCGCACCGCAGTGAGTGATGTTGTTCCTACTGAGACTCTTCGCTTCAAACACCAGAGCGTTATCCACTAGTCTACTGGGGGATGATAGTCACCCTTTGTGCATCATATATTTTATTATATGATATAGACCATTTTAATTTTATCGCTTTTTAAGATTTTGGATGATATTTTTTCCATTCCTTGCTATTCTCTTGTATCTTTTATGACCCCCTGTTGTCACTGGTTATAGCTTTGTAGTGACTACTTTACATAACTTCAGTTATATATGTATGGACGCTTGTACCTTCAAATTCCAAATGTCCCTTCAACCAGTCTGAAATTTACACGTTGGTTCACGTGCTTTTTCCTGCAACTTCGAAGCAAAACGACTGGTTGTAAAAGACTTCAGGGAGATACGGCTTTTCATGAAGATTCTGCCAATCTTTCTGGAAACCATAACAGTATCTAAACATTTTAAAGTGAAGTGTGGCATTATGGATCATGATTCTGGATACTTCGAGGATATTCACACTAATCTCAGTTTACTCACAAAAAGCTCTATGTCAACTGATATCCGGACAATTCAAGGATGAAAATATGCACAAATGGATACGGCTTGATATTGATTTTCAAGTCATTTTACCAGATCACTGACCTACATGCATGTGAATATGAATGACACAAAGCCGATATAATGATGGTAGAAATGATTAGCTCATAACCTTAAGTAACACCTGTTACGCAACCAACACTAGTGATGTGCATGTGACAGCTGTTTATCGCTCACTAAAACTTAAGCACTACATACATCAACTACTATCGATCTTATCAATCCCAATACATTGCCAATCACTTTCAATACATACACTTCCTAATAGTTGACAACACAAACCTATGAGCCAGAGGATAATAATAAGGCAATTCAACAGCCTGATATACTTTTGAGTAAGTCAAACCTAATGTTGATATTTAGTTGCAGAGGTTATATTAGATCGACTTCCATGCAAACACATGATCCGATGTTTAGAGAAGTTAGAAACGGTTAGAAATAACAATTTGAGAATAAGCAGATGTTCACAACATCTGAATTCTAAAAGTTTGCTTTATCAACAATCCCTATCGATATCTCACCTAACATCAAAAAGAGAGGTATCTGAGTATGCTGAACATCTCCCTTGCCATGAGTGGTTAACCAGCTTACGTAAGTTGGCAGATAATGAAACCTCCGTTCACACACATAGAGACTAATTCAGCTTTAAGTTACATAAACCATATTCTCTTTTACTACAATACTAAACAGAGAAGATGGAAAGAGGTTACAGCCTGTTAACTAGTATCGATAATGGAAATCGCATTACTACACAATGGCCCAAGTTATCACACTTCATATCAGCACACGAAGGTAGAAGGCATCAATATATGATATGATAATGGCGGACAAACAGCATCACATAAACATACTACAGATAGGGCTGTCTTATCAATCAATTACACAATTTGGAAATCCAAGTGTTAAGAGGGAGTGGGATACAGAAATACACAAAGAACACATCATCAAAAAAATCAATACCAACATAGAACCAGGTGTTACTGAGCAACGGTTCAACTTGCCAGACCTCATACCACCACAAGTAACTCAGTAATAAGATGATAGATGAAGAAATAAAGAAGAATAGGTCAAAAGCAGTAGAGAGCAGTAAAAGAGAGAAAGGAGGAATGAGAAAATGCTGAAATCAGTATAGGGGTCAAGATGAATACAGTGTGTAGATACATGTGTATGCCAATGACATCGATTGTCAGCCATATCATGTAGGGTGTCTAACCACTGGTTTCTGTTATCACGTAGACCCCAACCATCTAGTTTGCATACTTCCACATGACTCAAACTAACAGTCAAGGACTTCATGCAGGGATACTGAAGTGTGAGGGGAGGTTACACGAATGCTTAGCTTCAAACAAGGAAAGTTATATACACACCTCTCCATTAAAACACATAACTGAAAATGTTAAATCTCACTTAAAATTAAAGATCAGAACTCAAGATGCTGCCGAAGAAAGATTAGAGGGAGAAAATATTCTACACAAAAAAGGAACACAACCCCACATACTTCGATACAGGCAATTAGGTACTATCACAAGCTTTAGAACTATAAGTGTGCCCCATAGCTTAGCACATAAACATTTGCTGGGATGAGTTATATTATTCAATAATGATTATTACTGATAACGCCATTTAATATTAAAATGTAATACGTTTGGTCAGTTATTATTCTCATAAATATATTTTTCTGAGTTATGAAAAAGCATATAGCCAAGTTTCTTTTTGGAACTTTTCGAATCTATTCCAGCTTCCTCAATTAATTGTTTGTTCTATATAACATGAATGTTTCTTTAAATGTTAATGATAATTTAAGGGAGACAAATAGTTCAGCTTTATTAAAACCCACAGCATATAAGCTTTGTTTCAATGTAGTACATCTGTATGTAACACCGTGGTAATATACAGGCAAATGTACTACATTATGAGCGACATATTACATTACCTAACGCATAATAATATAACCGGGTAGCCTAAACCTTATTAAGTGTTGTGGAGTATTAGCCTATGATCGATTCAATCAAATAAAAGACTATCGAGTTACAGTTTCAGAGATCTCTTTGTAAATGGAAATCAATTGATATAGTTCACGTAGCAAACATATGCAGTATTCAGTGTGTAATTGATAAGTCACTTTTGACGATGAAATAAAATGAAATAGTGGAATTAAGAATGAAAGCAAATTAATATCATAAGTATTAAGACAAACCTGCCCAGAATTTCTAAAAGTTCTGCAATACCATTATGTGTTTCGGTTTCATAAATGAATCTAAAGAGACAGAAATAGACATAGAACAAAAAGTATTGGTGAAACATTTCAGGTCAATAGTATCACTAGTGTTAATCGAAAGCAAACCTAAACATAAACAAAACATAAATCGATCCAAAGCAGTCAATAATCGGTACGGCAGACGTCAGGCTTCAATCTTTCTTCCAGAGAACTGTATCAACATGAATACCTAGTTTATGCCTATGTTGGAAGATGTATGAAAAATAAGATGAAATGCAGGGTTGAATAGGCAAACAAGAGAGCCATAACATTCAATTTCAAAGATAAGTGGACTCCTAAAAGTGGTTAATTCACTTGATGACTGAATGCCGGAACAATATCGAAATCTATGGCAACTGCACAACTTTTATTATGAGTAATGTTTATGATTTGACTATCTGAGATAGCCGTAGTTTGGCAGACTAGTATTTGTACTGGGTGATGATTAGAGGTGAAATGAGAATCTAGATCGCTGTCGGATTCGAACCAGCGACTACCGGGTTACCTACCCGGTGCTCTGAGCTACGAGGTTCGACTGCAGATCAGAATTTTATTTCACTTCAACCACCAAGGGTTTTGCCCAACTACCATGTGAATTTATGGTGCGTTACTACCACTTGATCGTATTCCCACTGGCTGCCTAGTCAAGTCAGTAACTCGGTGGTCGCTGGATCGAATCCAGCTGCGGTCCAGATTTCCATCTCACCTTCAATCATCACCTAGTAAAAAAAATGAGTAATGTGATAAAAAACAATCTGAACGAAGAATATTCTTTCAATAAATTTTCATCAGATTCTACAATTTTGAAATGTATTTGCACAATGATAAATTTCAGTATCATCAAAACGGTAAGTATTGCACAGAGGAAAAGTACAATAATTCAACATAGTCATATAATTGTAACAAAAAAGTGACAGACTAAGGAGATTTCAAAATGTAACAATCCATCTAGTGTTAACAATTAAACTGAATTTCAATGACAGATACGGAGAGGAAGAAATATTTTTGATGTACAGGTTTTTGTTTAGACCAATTTCTAACCAGGAGTTGGCTGACAAAATCCACGTAAAACCTTGCAAACAAGTACATCCACTCACGTTGTCACAATTCACACTAGTATACAAAGAACAGGTGGATAGAAAAAGACTGATATCAAGACAGACTCAATTGTATGACAGAATAGACAATCTGAAGGTAACGGTTAGAAGATGTCAAAAAGTGAATAGATCTACACCATTGTGACCAATTTTCAGCCATGTCATCAAGAGTCTTCAACCACTGATTGATTTCGTGTCGGCAACCCCAACTAGGCAGTCTATATCTTTGCACACAACTCAGACCAATGGTAAGAGATTTTATCAACTGGTTCCACGTCTTGCTCTTGGTCTGCAACTATATGCGCTGGATGTTTCAGTCGCATGTACAAATTTGTCTATTTTAGGCTAGGTGTAAGGGATAATAATGACTCCCACCTGATTGGTTGTCAAAAGCTTGGCAAGTGGAATGTACTCACATGATCTTGTTTGATGATAAATCCTATACAGAAGACAATCATTGATGATATGAAAACACTATTTTAAAAAATGTTTAGTACTATTAAAAAAAGCTTCTCATAAACCCTGTAACGCATTGGACTTTTCGGCAGTGTTAACATATTTTTACGTGTATTTTGTCTATTTCTTATAACAGGTGATATACAAAACGATATAGAAGCCTTCACAGAAATGTATCAGTTATCCCACTAAAAAAAATACAAGACAAAAAGAATAAAAAAAAGTAGAGAAATGTCAGAATTTAAAAAAAGTATACATCAAAATCCACTTAGCAACCTTGTGAACAATCGCGTAATAGGCAATGAGCCAAGCCTATTATGTATGGTTAGCAAAACCTAAAAAGGTGGGACTGGGTTCGAACCCGTGACCAATCGGTTGGTAATGAAATGCCTAGTTTTATGATCCACAGCTCCACGCAAAAGTATTCAACAGAAGGTTAGACAGATTAATGAAGGTTAATGTGTCTAGAATTTTGATAGTAGAGTGTATATATCTCATCTTTGTTTCAGACTATCCTATCAAAGTCAAGGAAATTCTCCAACCGTTGGCTACTTATGTGCTAAGAGACTCTAGTCAGGCATCTGAAACTTTCCTACAAGGCTTAGCCGGAATCTGACAGCAGAGGGACAATTGAATGTCCAAGCGATATAGAGGTTAAGGTCATAAGCCAATCGTTACCACAAAAAAAAACTCAGAAAGGAATCAACCATTCGGATGAACGAGGAGGAAGGGGACATTACAAATGGGTAAATAATTGGCATCCGAGGAACTATGACCTATTTCACATTATATCAACTAGAGTCTTCAATCACAGACTTGATTAACATATACGATAACCTCGAACATCTACCATTGAGAGCTAAATATCATAGGTACTGTATATCTGATGAATGGTTTCAAAACATTAACAATCCCATCTCTATTTTAAGTAACAAACTAATTAAGAGCCAGTAACACTTAGGAGTAGTAAACATATGTTACAGTCATTGGGTTTATCTTTAAATATCTAAGAATTTCTCCGTGTGTGCAGTTGATGCTTCGACGACAAGCACAAGAATGATAACCAGTACAATAACATACATGGCAACGATTGTAAGTTATCCAATAATCCACTAAACAGCATGCATTTAACTCGAAAAGTAGCTTTCGAATGAAAAAGATTTGTAGAAAAAAAAACGCTGAGTTAAAAAAAACCGAATATGTACACTAAAGCTAATTAAACCCAGCGTAATTCAGCATAAATTGGAAATTAACTTCACAAATTACTTAAATGCATGGATACACTGTTGATTCACGTGTGAAATTTTAGGTCGGATAAAACTGTATAGATCATAAGCAGCAATAAGTTATCCAGATTGAGTTGAACAAACACCGAAGCTACAAAACACTCAGGTTCTTGTACTGTGTGATTACATAGAAGTATATATATTACTCAGTGTGTAAAATATTGTATCACAATATTTCGCAGCTGATTAACAAACAAATACGTTGCTACAGTGTTAACCATAGTATTCAGTTTTCGTATCCATCTTGCCAAGTTTATGCACAGGATTTTGTACAATCCTAACGATCAACTGCACACAAAGTAAAGGCTGAACAACTTAATTAACTGGAAGAAAATTGAAGCTAAGAATTATCATTATTACTATTATTACTACAATAGCTATTTTTGTTATGATAAGCACTGATAGATTGAAGGTCACCTTACTTGTAAAATATATTACCAAACTGTTTACGTATAAATGCGCGTAATCCAAGAAATTTGCCGTATACACGATGCAGGATAGTTTTCACAAGATCACGTTCACGAGGATCTTCACTGTCAAATAATTCTAAGAGCTGGAAATATATAAAGGAAAATATTTGAAAATTAATATGCAAAACAAGAGATTTTTATCGACATCAATTCAAGATCACCAACAGACAATTAACAAATTGATATTCTTGATGCCAGACCTAAGACTGTGTTAGGTAACGAACCAATGAGGCACATGCAGAGTTGTGCTAACACACTAGACTGTGTACATCTACGGAAGTAGGGAATCTCCGATTTAATACAAATAATGTGCATGAGCTCAAAGATCAAAAATGGTATGTAAACATCCTCTAATTAATGGATTCTTTTGGAACACATTCCAGTGATTCAGTACCAATGAACTATGCACGGATGATAAACCTAAAATTTCTGAGCTAACATAGTACTGAAACTCTTGCAAAATTAACAACAATGCACGATGGTGTGAGTAAGTATGACGCATCAGACGACAAAATTCACCGAAGCATAAAAATGTATCAACAGGATTAAAAATAAGAACAATATTACTTGGGAAATTAATTCGAACAATGATAAATCAGTTGTCACTGGAAAAGCTGACAAAATGCATGGTCTTCAGAATGCATTGAGCAGAAATGTGTACGTTTGGTTTGCGTTTCGCACCTGTTAAGTGTAAGATAACGCTTCGGGACTGGTCTCAAACAACTCCCAGCTTTAAAATAAGGAGTGAACTGGTAAACTGTGTCGATCACTTTACCTACACGGGGAGCTGCATCAGGCCAAAGAGACCGGCTGTCGACGAAATTTAAGCTCGGACACAAAAGGTTCGTTCAGCATTCGCCAACTAACGTCATCTGTGGCGTCAGCAAGATATCCGGTTATTTATCCAGGGACGAGTATACTGCGCTGCAGTCCGTTTTGTTCTGTTATGCGGCTGTGAGATGGCCGCCGAACGTAAAAACATGAAGCACTTACAGGTTTCTGGTCACAAGTGTTGTCGTAGCATTGCTCACGACGTTTGGTGGAATTATCGTGTGAGCATTGTTGAGGTCAGGTGAAAGCTGCTAGATAAGATAGTCAAGTAGACTGACTAGGTTGTGAACATCAATCGACTGAGATGGTTTGGACATGTAATATGCATGCTGATCCACCACATCAAGATATGGCACCAGTCGATGAAATCCCTGACTGTTGGTCTGAGTCGTGTGCAGAGATGTAGACTGTCTAGTTGGGGTGGTGGTTGAGGACTCTTGATGACATGGCTGAAAATCGGTCATAATGGTGTAGATCTATTCACTTTTTGACATCTAAAGCGTGAATATTAACACTAACCTTTATCTTTAGACTGTTTATCCTCTCACCCAACTTCGTCTACTTTGCTATTAGTCTTTTTCTCTCCACTTGTTCTTTGTATACTACTGTAAAGTGTGGGAACTTGAGCAGAAGCACTTGCGAGCAATGTTCTACGTGGATTTTGTCAGTCAGTCACTGGAAGTGAGTGACACAGTGAGTCGTTTCTGTTCTTAGTGTATGCAAATTCCCACTACAACTTTGACTGGACAACTTCAAGAATATTAAAAAGTTGAAAGGCGAAAGGTATAAAACAGTTTCTGAAAGTATATCATTCACAGGAGATGCGTATCAATAAGCATCTAGATGAAGTCTCCATGATCACACTGGTTAGTAAAAATAAAGAAAGAAATTCACTCAACCGAAAACCAACAAATCTAACTAGTAGCTAACCTGTTGCAATGATGGTATGAAATAAAAAAAACTAGATCAATAGGTTTAGTTCTACGTAACGTTAATTATGATGTGACATCAAAGCGTAGTCTGTTTACAATCAAACATCTTTCAAAGACACCAGATATTACCGTCTAAATACTCATGGATTACAGTTTGGAAGTAATAAGGTCATGCGTCTACTAAACATGATCTGAGTCTGAAAAGATTCAAACGGTCAGCGATAACACAACAGAGTAACACAAGTATAAAATGTAGCATCGCCTAAGTTTACTACTGTTCGTCTGAGCATAATCAACACTAAGTGAAGATCAATAAACAAGTTTTTGTATCATGGTGCTAGCAAACAATAACAGACAAAAACTTAGTGGTGAATGACCTGACCTAGTAACAATATTGTATTCCATAATCGATGCAATTCGGTCAACAATACAATACTAAACACATAAACACCCTGGTATGGTCATAAGTAGTGTGAATCTGCTTATCCACTAGAAATGCTCTCATACGGTCATACTTTCACTACCTTTGTCAGTAAGGTACTACTCACAGCATTCATATGATGAGGGTGTTTACAGAAAAGTGAAAGGGTAAAAATAAAAGTAAATTTCTGTCATTTGCCACTGAATTAGCGGACACAGACGATTCAGCTAGAGGAGGTGGTAATTTCAGATCCAAAGCCAATAGTGCGAGTGCGTTCCAGAACCAACAGCGGACGAATGTTGTGCGAACCTTACTCGGACACCAGGAACCATAAGAATGAGATACCTAACTTTTTAAAACGTTTGAGGAGTGATTCCTTAAAACAACAAACTGCTTCAATCTGCGTGTTCGACGGCACAACAGCCGTCATACAAACCAGGAAACAGCACATACAAAGAAGAATTCAGTCAGCTAACCGAATCCTTCCATGAAAAACTAAATTCACTGTGCATAGGATTTTCTACGAAAACACTTAATTGCTGTTTAGCCTTCATTTTCTAATTTGACCTTATGTGTATTCTTGTTTAGTCGAGCTACTCACCACGGATAAAGATCCTGGTCAACCTATGCCATTTTGAGCCGCTAAACGACTGCATTCACAAAACTGTCTAACAGTATGATAACTCACTCAACTATTTCGAAAACACCAGCATAGTTTAGACACGCTGTCTTCAACATTCAAACCCTGATGCAGATCGAACAACAGACGGATTCGATCAAAGTGAAAAGTATTTGTAATGTAAGAGCAGAGCTTGAGGACCATGTTTGTTGCATATTGCACACAGTGAGATATTCAAAAAGGAAATTAACATGAGAAATATCTAGCAAGAGAAAGATATCCCTCCTTAATCTTCACCTATTGTCAGAAGTAATGCAGCCCAGATGAAATTAAGGAGGAATTCTGTAGTGGGGTGAATGACCTTCCAGTCACGCTTTAGTGCATGTTAAGATTATCTTGTATTGCGATTTCGCGACGACTGATGGTCAGGAAGCACGAGTTAGATGGAAGCAACAACTATCCAGTAACAGTTGAAAGCTGTTCCAACTCATCGAAGCCACCGTCAACTTGGCGTTAGTGAGATGATCAAAGACGTGAAGCCCACTTATATATACTTTTAATGACCATGTTTCTGACCCAGATAGTAATGCGTAATAATACGTTGTTATGACCTTGTCATTTAATAAGTAATCAAGAACCTCACCGGCACCACTAATTGACGGAAGTTAACTGGAGACTAATCGGTCATCAGTCAGTCTGAAAACGTGTAACTTCTCAAAATGCTCAACCGCTCCATTCCTTGCTGTCAAGAAGTAAATGAATACAGGTCAGTTATGAAGCAACAACTTACATTTGTGAGATAAAAAACACTTTGTAAACACTATATTCATATTATTATTTGAATATAGATTTATGACTTTATTTATGTGTTTTTTTCGTCTCTGCATACCACTTGTATGTCCGCATGTTGAAATATTATTTCATATGACATTTTTGGTGCCTGTGCTGTACCGGGTGAGTTTTAAACATTACAGAAATAATTCAGTTAGATTTGAAATGAGATGAGAAGTTCTGACTGGGCAACCAGTGTGAATACGGCAGTAACGCGTTACGAATTCATATGGTAAGTCGGGCATAACCCATGGTGACTGAAGCAAAATAAAAATCTGGTCAACAGTCGGACCTCGTATCTCAGTTGGTAGAGCATCGGCCGGAAACCTGGTGGTCGCTGGTTTGAATCCGGTAGAGGTCTAAATTTCCACTTCACCTTCAATCATCATCCCGTATAAATCACAGAAATAAACGGCTGTGTATCGCATTGGTCGAAAATTGACGTCCGATGCATAGAAAGATAACAGTTAGAGTCGTAGTTCTGTTGATTTTTTAATTAGCTTGCTGTCAAATAAGTACCTTATGACTTAAAAATGGGCATTGGATACACGTTTATTGTGCATGAAAGTGTATAGGTCTTTAACGCGTTTAAAGAGACGCTTTCCTCTGAATTAGGAGAATTGAAAAACATTAAACATGTGAAATAAATACTGTTACAAAGATGAATCAGAGGAAGGATGGTGAAATGAAAACAGGATTAAATGTCTCAAGAGATCTTATCACCACCAGTGGAGTAAATTCGGCAAAGCTTACAGGTCTTGCAGTGTCAGAAAGATACTGTACTACAAAGAAGCATATCCATAAAGTACTAGCTGATCCTGTGAATGTGTTCCGTTGTTCTCTGCTCTTAATAAATCTAACTCTTAAACCATTGACTCAAGTGAGTTTTACTGTAATACAACGCGAACGTACCAGAACTGGATCTATGTATCAAACCTTTTCCTGAATACAACAAACTGAACTGATTGCTGACCGAAAATCGAAATGCACTCTCAATAACCACGTGTACATTTGTGCAGTAGGCAATCAATCAAATCAATAGTGTGACAGTTAGTGATACTACCTGGCTTCTCACACCTGGTTTCAGACCCTTGACCAGTCGGTTGGTAATCAAATGCCTAGTTCAGTGAGTCACACCCCCAACTACAGTAAAGTGATATAGATATACATGGAATACGGTAAGATTTATCTTTACACTGTTTCTAAACGATGATACTCACTACCGGACAACTAATTCCAATGTGTACAGATTAAATAAAAAATAAGCTTGTTAGGTAGCTGATGAATTCTTACCAATTAGTTAAATATAACACTTTTGACCAGCACCAAAGGTTGAGAATGAGATTTTCTTATGAAAAAAAACCAACATTTAAACTAATAATGCTCCCAGATTCACTACTAAATGGTATCAACACTGTTCACAAAGTTTCAAGAACAAAGTCATGCGCTTGTTTAGTTATACAAGATCATCAATCTTTGCATTCGTTTTAGTATACAATACTTAGTTTGCTTTATGAGTTCAATCAAATGGTTCAGAATTCATCAATCCCCAAATAGAAGGATTACACTTATCATGAGAAAAAATTGAATAATGAACGTACACAGAAAAAAATTTTTTTTATAATAACAGATGAAATCACTAAAAAATTAATTAAAAACGATTATTTGACCTGAAACTAACCCTAATCTACTTTACATGAATCTTTCTTTGTTTCACTGAATACAAATGTAATGCCTCACATTCGATAGTATCATGGTGACAACGATGCAGTATCACGCATAGGTTCGTATACCAAGCAATTAATTAGATGTATCGTATGCAGAATGGGATATTATCTGGATAGGTGAAGCAGAGTTCAAGTCCCTGACTCAATGACTAAAATTCGACTGCTTAATTCAATGAACCCTACTTCTTGTATGATATATGTTTCATCATTATCATCATCTATCGACATACGACCAGGGATTACTGCGTAACGGTCCGAGTTGTCACAGCTCATATCACTACATCAAGTAAAAAGGCAGTTAAGTGGAAGATGAAGAAAAGAAAATTCAGTCAAAAGAAATATAAAGTACTAAAGTACTAGAAGAGAGAAAGGGAGAATGAAAATATGGTGAGATTCGGTATAGCGTTGTTAAGATGAGGATAATGTGTGTATACATCTGCGCCACTCACATCGGTTCTGAGCCATATCACCTAGGGTCTCCAACCACTGGTTCCTCTTATCCCGTGGACCCCAACCACTAGTCTGCATCGTCCTACATGGCTTAAACCAACAGTCAGAGACTTCATACATTGGTGCCATGTTTTAGTCTGGCCACCTCGGGCCTTTTTCCAGCCTGGACCCACCTCAGCCAACATTGTGTGACGAGGCAGTCGGTGACTGGGCGTACGTAGTACGTGTCCCAACCATCTCAGTCGATGAAGGTTCACAATCTCGTCGACTGACTTACCTCTTCTCCCCAAAACTCTACACCTGACTTCTGCATTACTCACATGGTGACACCACGGAATACGTCCTATACTACGAAGGCAACGGTGTTCAAACACCTGAAGCCTTTTTATATCTTCCACTTTCAATGGCCATGTTTCACAGCCATACAGTAGAACAGAGCGGACTGCTGTGCAGTACACGCGACCCTTAATAGACAAACGAATATCACGGCGGCGCCATAGGTGGCGTAAGTGGAGAAAGCCAGTCAAGCCTTTTGTATTCGTGCAGAAACTTCGTCGGTCACTGAGCCGTTAAGGCTGATCTTACTTCGCAGGTAAGTGAAGGGATCGACACACTCAACCACTACGCTCTCTATTGTTAGCCGAGGTACAGTTGAAGACCATGTTTCATACTATCGTTTTTACACATCAGAAAGATCAGGCACCATTGTTAGCTAATGTTTTTGAGTTAATCGCTAAAATACATTAGTATGCATAAAACTTTGAGTTAAATTAGAAAAATCTGAACTTGCTGATCACTTAAAAATTGATGATAGTAATGTATACCACTTTATTAATTTGCTTTAGTGATTTAACATAATTTTTACTTTACTCCCTGATATATTCTTGTTTATATGTGCATACATATATATGAATAAACTTTTGGATAATGATCTTTGGCTTCACCCCCGGGGGTCACTCGGTTCCTCATAAATAGAAAGTGGTAAAAACGATAGAAAGTTTACTGTCACCTTGACCATGCACAAAAGGTAACGGTTTATAACTGTTATCAATGGCTTTGACATTTTCTACACCCTTCTGGAGAGAGATTTGGTCAATCTGAAACTTACACTTATGATCACGTGGTTTTAGTTAACGGTTGGCATGCAGTGATTGCCTGTGAAGGCTTTCCAGGGAATTCTAGGCTTCTTTGAGAAATCTATAACATTTTCCTCTTTAAAAAAATAATAACTACATGTACCGGTGTTGCTTGGGATTCACTTCGATCTTCTCGATGGATTTCCTGAAACGAGTCATTCGATGCTGTGGTGACTTTGGACCAGAAGAAGTCTGGCAATTCTCCCTACTGCTTGGAAGTCGTTATTTGGCCTCTGATTTTTGTCCATTGTCCAGTGGTAAACTGGGAGAAACATTAGTTCTACTGTGGTTATGAAGTCCAGTTCTTTTTGATTTATTGATTTGACTTTTGATTTGTCTTTTCCAGATTTTTGGACCAACTTGCATTTCGTAAAGTACTTTTCTGATGTGATGTCTGATTATTCCCATTTGCTACAGGTTTCTACCCCGGTAGGTTCTGACTAAACCTTATAACTAGGAGGAAATTTCCTGTTTCGTTGTGGCCGCATACTCCTTTTTGACATATCTGTAGGTAGCACAGGAGCAAACATAGTTCTTATCCGGCGACCAAGCATGCCCTGTGCAGGAGATTTCCCGTCTAGTGTGTTGGGATTTGGAGAGCTTCTATAATCTACAAGAAAGATGTTAATGACGATGTTTACCAATCTTTCTCCTTTCAATAAAGTCCATTTGAATGCGTCCATAAATCTTTCTATCTCCAGATTTCATTGTGGGTGATAAGGTGGGGGAAGTAAGTCCTGGACTTCACTTTGTCTGCAAAAGGCTGAAAATGCTGAAGTGAATGGTGTACCATTACCTGTTACCTTGGTTCAGGGACGCCGAAGAAGCTAAACAAACCAAAGAGTTTGGCTATTGTAGTTCCTGTCACGCACTGGGGCATGTAGAAAACTTCAGGCCATTTCTTATGTGCATCAACAATAATAAGATATATTTTAGCTTGTATTCGTCCGACAAAGTTAGCATGAAGTAGATATCATGGAGTTTCGATTATCGACCATGGGTGAGAGAGGGGGGATTCTGGTAGATCTCTTGCTACTAAGGTGCAGTTCAGGTAGTTTTGACGTATCTTTTCTATTTCTTGATCCAGGCCAAATAAGACCACGAACTTCACTCTAGTTACACTGGGATAGATATTGTGGGATTGGTTAGTAATTTTGCGGAAACTCTTTGGAACCCTTCGTACAGCTCCACTCAAAAGGTTACCAATACTCTCTTATTTTTAAGTACGACCCACAGTTCCGAAACACTTTTAAAGACCGTGGTTTGTTGTTGACGCATAAATTAGTAGCGTATTATGCATGACTTAGCAAAAAAAGGGACAGTGAGCACCAGATGCATTTTCTACCGTACGGTGGTTACGGAGGATAATCGAAGGACTAATCCATAAGTGAATTTTGCATGCGAGAATTTGTAGTTATACGTCGATTTAATCACCTGTCTAGTCACAGTTATAGGTGAATGTAAAAGACAAGTGACCGAAACTTTACCAGTCCGCAGTTATAAAAGCGAATATTTAGCAGCAAGTCACACTGACTGGAATCAGTTACCCATGCTATTTCAGAAAAGTAACATTTTTACATATGCATAATACACATAACGAGTTATTACCACTATCCATCCCACTAACCCAAGGTTTTATCTCAAAATCAAATAATAAATAGTAGATGGATCTGCGACTGATCCATCCAGGTATTTGACCTTCAACTACTGAGATCGTGAGTTCGAAGCATACACCATCTGCCAACTAGGCATGACATCTTCAACCTTCACAATCAATACTTTGCAAGCTGGTAGGTAGACAATTAGAAAAGATAATCGTAATTCATACAAAAATAAAACGCAAAGTACATTCTACGATAAATAAATAAATAAATGGACAAAAAACTTTACCTGTAAAACAAATTTAGTGTCGAAATAACGTTTGGCAACATTTGGTTGAAAATTAGGAGATTCGATGAAACGAAGAAGGAATTCATACACCAACTAATGCATGAACAAGGAAGACAGAAATAATAATATATATTTACATATTTATCTCATTGAAAACACTAACACAGGATTGTAACAATAAGACAATGAGTAAAACATTTTTTAAAATGTATGAAATACAAACTACTTATCAGAAATTCAGTGATACATAAACTAATTTATAAAGGAGTAGGCCTACATGCTAGTTACTGTTTTGTACGAAGTAAAACTGGGAGAATAATGGAGGTGCTCTAATACGCACATATCATCCCATGGAAGTGTCGCTAATCTACCTAGGCACTTGACTTTCAGCCAGTAGGTCAAGCGTCGGAAACAAAACTGATGCAGATATGAGCAGCCGCCAAGTAGTATCATTACTAGACGTTACTCCTCACTCAATGAACAAATAGAGGCAGGTACCGCAGAACCCTCCTTCATTTTATGTTACATTTAACATATATCTGACATAAATTGATCTGCTCCTCATGACCAAATATATTCGACGATGATGGACAGGGAAATATGTTCAGCAGAAATCAACGAATATGCGGCGATGACACAGAAAATTATTTGAACGTACATTTTTCAAGGTACCTTAAGAAGTAATCGTCCACAGTGTAAACTTCCCGAAAATCCCAACTGCAGTATCAGAACTCAGATTCTCTCACATGATAACCTACTTTTGAAATCTATGCCTTCTTACCAGTTTTCCACACCCTCTCACTAATAATACCAAATCATCTTTAATTTCTTACAGCCAAGTAGCCCTAAAAAAGAATCCAGCTCATGAAACAGTCACTAGCCTCAGGAACGCACCTTCCTAACTACACATTGAAGATTCTAAATATGAACAACAAGCCTCACTAGCTCAAATTTTGACAAAATCCACACAAGGAGTTTCTGGAAATTTGATGCCTAGTTTTCAAGTTTTCGCAGGTGTAAGTACAACCTTAAGTTACACGATGAGAAAAGCTATGTCAGAGAAGTCACCGGGAACGAAAATGCGATCTATGTGATCTGAATTAACCAGATACCCTCCAGGAAGTACACTAATCCCTATGAAGACACAGGTAACTAGGGTTGTCTCCATCAACAAATCAACAACGAGGTTAAACAGGAACGGTGACAGTGGGTGTCTCTGGTGTACACCACTGGCTGTCGTAAATTCAAATGACAACTGCCCACAACCACTGACACAGCTGCATGATTTCGAGTAAAGGGTATTAATTAGTGTTTCCAGATTTCTCAGTACTTACTTCACAATCAAACAATAACACAACACCTCTCTATCGACTAAGTCAAATACTGCCTTCAGGTCAAGAAATATGCCTATTGTTAGGGCAGATAGACATATAAAATCAACTTAAAACTACGCACGCAACGACATCCACTGCAGTTGTCACAATTCACAGTAGTATACAAAGAACAAGTGGAGAGAAAAAGACTAATAGCAAAGTAGACGAAGTTGGGTGAGAGGATAAACAGTCTAAAGATAAAGGTTAGTGTTAATATTCACGCTTTAGATGTCAAAAAGTGAATAGATCTACACCATTATGACCGATTTTCAGCCATGTCATCAAGAGTCCTCAACCACCACCCCAACTAGACAGTCTACATCTCTGCACACGACTCAGACCAACAGTCAGGGATTTCATCGACTGGTGCCATATCTTGATGTGGTGGATCAGCATGCATATTACATGTCCAAACCATCTCAGTCGATTGATGTTCACAACCTAGTCAGTCTACTTGACTATCTTATCTAGCAGCTTTCACCTGACCTCAACAATGCTCACACGATAATTCCACCAAACGTCGTGAGCAATGCTACGACAACACTTGTGACCAGAAACCTGTAAGTGCTTCATGTTTTTACATTCGGCACATTCCAACACTTCACTTCCAGGCACTAAACTGGAAGTAAGCCTAGTCTCTCCATACGTGTTTAATTTGTCACAGACGTTCTTATGGTTGTCATCTGGAACGAAAGGAACAGATCTAATTACAAGTGAATCCTTGGGATATGTAGCATACACTGGATAACTATGGACCCTACGATCTTGGACACAATATTAGTCAAGGTCCCTCTTATATGGTTGTCACAAGAAGACCTCTCCCTTCTAATAGACTGGGATGATCAGAGAAGTGGACCAGTCTGATGGCACTACCTCTGATTCCCATACGTTACCTAATATCTCCGTTTTTCTGTTCATCCTTCATCCCTAAAACTTCTGGTGGGAAATAGTTACGTCCTGCTGTCATGCATCATTTCAGGTTCGATACAGTCTTCTCAGCTTCAATGAAATCTGGAGGGCAGACGTCCACATCCCCTTCAGGTTCGGGTTAGCTAAATGTCGGGGAACTAAAGCGTTGCTGTGGGTCAGTTAAACTATGCTTCAAAGTGTTTCGCCCAACGTTCTGAGAGGTTACCAGCGTTCCATCCTTTTCGGTGGTGGTTTCACTAGCCATCGTCTTCTTGTTAGTATCCTTAATAACCCTAGATAGTTGCTTGTTGTTGATGCCTTCTCCTTCTCTCTCACTTTCGCCACCCACCACTGCTCGCGATTATTGAGAAGACTCTTGCTCAACTTACGTCTAAGTTGCTTTCGCTCTTCATCGTGGTTAGAGCCCGGCGGAATGAGTCTTCTCATGTTCAGATAAATGCCTAAATACGAATTTGATGTCTTCACCTTCCAGTTGAGCAGAGGTTTTACTGCTATGTTCCCTATGACCCGCCTGGCACAAACATATACGTGCTTGCACTAATGAATGATCGGAGTCTAAACAGATACTCTAGAAACAGCGATAATCCACCACTAATTCTCCTCAACTAAGGTTTATAGCGATATGATTTGTCTGTGTTTACCGTCGGTTTCATGATGGTACGTATACAGAGATAGTTTTTCCTTATGCTTGAAGTTAAGACCAGCTAGAAACAAATGATTGTCATAACAAAACAATGTTAGAGACGATTAATGTTGTCGATTCGTTGGAATCGGACACCTTTATTACCTCTAAAACGCCTCTTCGATTGACTCAGATATTATTTTTGAGCGTCACCTCTGCTACTATGATTGCTAATGTGACCGTTTTGCGTTATGTAGCGAAATTGACAGCGTCTGGTAAAACTTATTTGTTGTATAATCCCAAGTTCGGTTGGTGGGTGCGTAAGCGAAGAATACGGATAGGTGTCGGCGAGTGTTATAATCCTTTCCACTTCTTACAGATCCATTCAGCCAAAACAGTACACAGATAGCTGTTGAGTGGTATGCAGTCGTGAAGTGTGCTTTCTGCTTGAGGACTTAATGCTATTCCCACACCACCCGTATCAAGGTATCAGCTATCGGGTCAGGCACCAAAAATATGCATTGGCGAGTACTTTTTGAGCTTACTCAGCACACTAAGGTAAAGGATACTACTTCTTTCCTACATAACGGCTGGTCAGATAGGACTAAAACATAACTCATTGGTTGAGAGTAAACTGACTAATCTACTCATCAGCAAGTTCAAGGTGAAGATTATATTTTTACACTGATCTCCAGTTGCAAATCGTTTTCCAACATACCAAAAGAAATTCTAATATTATAATCATGGGTTAATTTTACGAACTTACTTGTAAATGAGGCCATGCAGCTTCTAATGTAGGCTCATCCTCCTCAGGATCGAATTCTGCTCCAGATGGATTACTTGGTGGCGGTAATGTACGAAACAGATTGGCTTCTACCATACGCACTACTTCTGGATATACTGAATCCGTAATTATGCCAGAATTCTCGGTCAGGTATTCGGTTAACTCATGCAATGCTGCTCGCTTTACCTCCTTATCCTTCAAATCACTCAATAAATCCGGTACAAATTCAAATACAACAGAACATTGTTGCAATTTTTGGATGAATAGCTGTTCACGGTTTTCTTGACTGTCCGCATCTAAGAAATGGATAACAGAAAATGAGACTTGAGAAAAGCTACCCAATACAGAACAATATTTTTATTATTACTAGAACACAAACATGGTACACCAAAAGCACAAAGAAATGCACCACACAAAATAATATAACATTAGGAAAACATAAAGCGAAGGGAAGTCGATAGAAAACACGATGAAGATAAGATGATTAGAAATCCAGTCGAATAACACACATTCCAAGCAAATCATGCACTACTTTTCGGCTGCAGAAGATGGTAGGAAGGAACAGGATGATTCTGAGTCACATCTGATAACATCTCAAGTCACTGAGTTGTATGATTTCTCGGACCCCATCTAGGAAGTCATGGTGAACCAACAGATGCCAACCCGATACAACTATCCTTCATCCCACGGTGCCACGTCATACACCGACCACCCTTCCACTTTTTTCATCCAGTCTCAGTTTGCAAACAATGAACGGTATGGAAACCATTGGGACGACGTGTGTAACACATATTCAAGCCACCGAAGCCGGTGTTTCAAGACGACTTCACTTATTGAATAACGATCTCTATCATGCCTAAACACGCGCTGTCGTACCCCACAATTACATACATGATGTTGTCATTCAATACCAGCAATTCTACGGAAACAACAATAATCAAACACACAGAGTCGTCACATATCCTCAGCTAAGGGGTCAGGTTTCACAGGCGTACAGCAGAACTGTTTACGCTGAAGTGTTGTAAACTCGACCTTTTACGACCATACCAACTTCGTGACGGCTCCAAATGACGACCAAGATTGGCGTATACCACTCAGGCTTTCGATATGCGGTTAGAGTTGTGGCTCATGGGCGTTATCTTTCAAGCACTAGGTAACGGGTCCGAACACCACTTGATTGTATGGTTGTATGCTCTCACTCTACATGAAGTGACATCGTATGGGGCATGCAGGATGTTATTAAATTTCCCAGGCACACCCTTCTCTAACGGACAATCCCAGATTATAGCTCTGTCCGATGAGTCAAAGTTGCCCCTAATGTCAAGAAAAAACGTCTGGCGATGTCCAAGCATCTGGTGGAGAGTAAATGCGTGGTCAATGCATCCACGACCTGAACGAAACCCGGTCTGCTCCTCGTGAATCATTTTGTTACGCGTTGTGAAGTATGATAGCAGCCAATATTCTCAACGTGACTGGTAACAGACTAGTATCCCAGTGGTCACATATATTGCGTAGACCCTTCCTAAAGATGGACACAGTGATGGCCTCGTTTCAGAGTGGTGGAACACTCCCAGTCTGCTACATCTCAAACAATCTAGTGAGTTCCCTGACTAGGATTGTTACTCCATCCTTAAAAAGACCCTGGCGTAAGTTGTCTGGCCCGGGTGTCTTATGGCATCCCAGTAATTGGGGTTCCTCATGAACCTCCGCTTCGTTAGGTAGGTCAGAGTTAACTGATCACGGAGCACGATACACCGAAGTTGACAGTGCTGGAGCCGTGAGCCGGCTAAACTACTCTCTAAAGTGCTCCGCTCAGCATTCCAGGCGTCTTTGAAGACTGTTTATCAGTGTACTATATTCCTCAAAGACCATCCCACTGACATCAGGCTTCTTGCTCCCAGTGACTCGGATGAGCTAAAACAGCTTCCGACGTAGTTGCTGCTTCAATCTCACTCGTGCGCTTTGGTCACCAAGCCTGGCGGTCCTTGAGTAAGCGCTGTGTAATCTTTCGCTTAAGAGACTTGTGCAAACCACTGTACTCTCTATTCGTCGGAATAGCCTGACAGGCGTCAAGAAGTTGTAGGGAGCTCTCAAAGACCTAGTGTTTATTAGCGCGACATTCTTCCAAGCAGCAAGTGGCTTCACTCGCCATTTTCATGGCGTCTTGTAAGTGCAGCCAATGCTCGTCTATAACTTTGGACGATCGGTAGCTAGCCTTAGATCTAGCTCGGATCGGCTTCTAGCTGCAGTGTTAGGTGCAACTAATTTGCTTGCACCGACCTGCTTAGGCTGACAGTTTTGATCACCACCAAAACCCAAGATGAGCTTAGCATATACTAAAGCATAACCAGAGTTCAGACAAATACTTCATATGGAGCGGCAATACTGTATGCAGCCACGCCTTCGGTAGCTGATTGCATTATGATCTGTTTGAGTCTAGGCTTGAATGGTAGAAGGGAGGACACCAGTTAGCACAACGACAATGGTTGTGTCGCAAGTTGGTACTTGCAAAAAATAGGTTATGATCTGTGCAAAGCTGCAGAAGACGATCCCCATTATCCTACCTGAGGTCAACTAGTCCCGATTGGCCACCTAAACGACTCCCTTCTGAGCCTAGATGCCCGGCGTACATATTCAAGTCGCCAGATAAAACCACGATATTTGTCGAGTGCAGCTGGTTGAGAGATGGTCACTCAGTTGATGATAGAATTCATCCTTGGTTGCATCCGGGTAGCAGACTGTCGAGGCGTAGGCAAAGATGATAAACAGATATCATTTCTCCCATCGGTTACTTCTTACACGAGACGAACCTTCTAGCTTAACAGCACCCAGACGACTGTTGATGAGGATCCAGTCGAGTAGTTCAGCTTAGGATTGAAAGCTTAGTGCGACAGATATCGACGCCAGTTGCAGTCAGTGGGTGTGTAAACAGAGATTACAAAGAGACAACGTTTCACGATTCTTTTCAGGCCTTATTATGCCGTTCACTCGAATGGCATACAAGTGACTGTCAACTGTCAGGTAGATTTCCGGCTGACTTGTCGGAGGGTGCAGATATTGAAAGCTCTAATGTGTAATTTGGAGCGCCGTACTGTTCTATGAACGCAGATCATTGTCGACAGCTGCAGAGCTGGGATGAATGAAAGATGACGTAGGAGAGTTGACTGAGACATGAAGGATGATTAGAAGGTATGTAGGAGGTGCACAGTGATCTGAGGTGCTTGAGTGCTGACATTTATGGGGGTGGTTGACACTTCCCGGTTGCCCATATAGTGAACGGCTACTTATTCCCGAGATAACTGAAAAAGAAAGATTAGTGAGTGACAGCAGGACCCAGGGAACATCTTCCTGAGGGCGGTCGCACATGGCGTATTTTGCAATTTTCAGCTTTTGGTATTTCACTTTCGAATCCGACTATGAATGGCTTTCTCAGGAATCGGCATGCCATGGGGTGTGCTATTTTTGGAGCCGAACTTTCCTTAACCCCGTTCTTTCTCACAGGGAAGGTAGCATCAGCCCGGTACTGCTGGCTATTCAAGAGAAACCACTTACCATTGTCACTACTGTCCAGCCAGGAGTTTGACTTCGCAATCGGACCCCCATCAAAGTGTAGTAACGTACAATACGATGGTAACTGCTTTTTGTCTAATCAGTATCCAACATATTTTCTGGTATGGAACAAGGATTCCACCAGCATAGTTTTTTGGACCATTGTGATATACAATTTCGACCACCACATCAAGGTAACAGCTATCGGTCGGGACCTGGTCATCACACTAAGGGTCACTTTGGAGACAGAAATTCGACAAAAAGGGATGATAAGGCGCATTGGGAGCAGATGAGGAAAACGTAAAAGTATATTATTTGGAATACTGCAATCATCAAAGACGCACTTACTTTCATATGGCTTGTTTTGATCGAAATTAAGTAAAGTTTTATAACAACAGTTTCGGATTTCTTGTAGATATTAATAGAAACTTATAGTCCCCTACACGACTCAGAACATAGAACAATTGCTTAAATTGTATCATTATCAAAACTGGAGAGTTAGTAGTGTATTTTATATGGCTTTTAGGGCGAGGCAATTGACTTTTATATGCATATTTCACACGAGTAAAACCTGGCTTTCAATAGTGCTGAGATGCATTATTTTTTAATAAACGACTGCAGACTATGGTAACTACAGCTGACTAAAAAACCAAGCTAAATCAGGATGAATAACCTTCACATTAAACATCTTCATCTAAATATAATGACATCATAGTTCACTGGTCAAAATAACAATTTAATAACAACCAGAAGATAAATTTCCTAGTTGCTGCAAAACTGCAAGTGCTGATTTACTACCTACACCATACATGACATAAAAACTAGTCTAAAAACTAGTACTTCGTTAATGGCTTATTAAAAGCGACACGTACACCTTTTGTTTTTACCCCTTGTGATATTTCACAGATCTGAGATCCGGTGAAGTGCTATGAGAGTAGTGGACCACCAATAATAGCTAAAATTTATATGAACCGTGTCGTAGTTGGTGGGGTCGATACCAGTCGTCAACCACTTCGGGTCACCATGTCGGTTCATACACCTTGTGTTTGGGGAGACGACTGTCGACCAATAGGTCATCAGTTTTAGCCCCGCCCCACCCACCAAAGTTTGGGAACCCAGGTAGTACCACTAGCCTTCATACAATAGGTGTGGCTCATAACCTGCTGCATGAATGTGAACAAGGTTGCTGAGTGCGTTTTGTTTTTATTTTTCTTTAGGCTGATCTTAGCTGTTCTCAGAGAAAACCACCCCATCAAAATTATCCTCCTAAAATACAATTATTCTCCATCATCTCAATAAACAAGGTCGAAATTTTAGGTGATTACCTGTAATCTCCATCTCTGAAATGTAAATGAAGTAACTACTTTTCTAACACGGAAGATGAACTGAATGACGGGAATTAGTGGAGCTATGGTCTTTTGGTTCAGGCATCAAACTGCAACCCAATTAGTCACAATGCTGAAAGCCATGAAAACTGCAAAGACGGTAGTGGCGTCGAAATTCATACATTAATGGCTGAATGGCCAGTGCATGGATGTGGTTACTAAGCTGTACTAGATATTTGTACATTTCAAGTTGTGAAACGACTTCATCAACTTTCTGTGGAACACCGACATACCGCCTGGGCTCCAGTTACTGAGTAAATGGGCAGAAGATGAAAACAAAATGCCATTTCACCATAGTCCTTTGAAATCCCTGAAAAAAATCCTAAGTGAATAAAAGGGATGCCTTTCTTCTTTTCTGAGGCAATTCCACTCGCAAATAAACACAATATTAACAACCTATGATGCTGTAGTCTTAATCAATATGACTCTATTCCCAACTTGAACATGATAAGTGGGCTTGAAAGACGTAGGACAACGTTGCTTAAGTACTTTTAGAAGACTAGCAAGGTAACTGTGGAGGTGAGGGGTATATATATATATACCCTATTCGGCGAGCAAAAGAAATAAATATTTAAATAGTAAAGCGGGATAAATTCGGGGAACTCCTGAACATAAAATGAACACACATAGCTACACCCCTTGGAAAAAACGCCTAAAAACAGCCATCACCAGAATATACTGTATGCTAAGTCGTTACTAGTCACCAATTCCAACTGGTTTTACTCTAACGATTAGTGAAGTTCAGTACAACACTGAGACAACTCGGTGAGGTTACCACCCTACTACGAATCGAACAAAAAGTCTTGTAAACTAATCACCGAAGTCTTTAGTTATAGGGAACGTTATATGTGGAAACGATTCTAACCAACCAACCGTTGCTTAACCTTAAGCAAAAGCCTAGTCATATTCGGACAGCCAAGCTGTTTGTTAGGATGGGACAGAATCGCCAATAGATCAGAAAATATAGTACAAACAAAGTCACATTTATACGCTTAGCAATAAAGACAGCCATACCTTTTATTAAAGGCAAAGGCTCCAATTCACGGCTCTTAGGAGCATTAAACCGAGATGACGTCTGAAGTTTCTCCTTTCTTACAACTGACGGACCAACCAGGGAATTCATTTTAATGAGCTGAGTTGGAGGGGGGTGGGCTTCTCCATGAATTACACCATGATGACGAGGAACATCAGATGATACATTATTCATGTTGGAACTTTCAGACGCCGAGATTGGAGTAGACGAGGAGCTCATCTGATTCGATACCATTAGAGAATTTCCAGATGCCATAGAATTTTAGGTAAAGTGCCTTATATCGATTGAAATAACTACTGATTTCTTGGAAACGATTTACAAACATGCGGATCTGTTGCCAAAAACAAAAAGACCGCAATACTCAGTGGTTGTTCTGCGCGCTCAATATCGAAATAACAAAACACAAGTTTAGGCAGATGATATTAGCGTCACGTTTGTAAGAAATTTTACTTTCACGAACTCTCAAGAACGAATAATTATCTGCAAATGTCAAAACTTATATTCTTGGCGAATCAGAACGATGGAGATGCTGAAGGTCATATTTCAATTGACCTATGCTGAGTTCAGATGTATCAACTTCAGGTTGATACATATAAGCTCGTGACACCACGTATACACCAGGATTTATATCTGACACGACGACAAGATGAATGAAATCCAAGCGGACTTGGAGAGGCTTGGAATATTCAAGGAAATGTCATATCATACCATACGAGATCCTTATGACAAGCCAAACAGTCGTATTGTACGGTCTGCGTACAAGGGCAGACAAATGTATTGCAGTGGGTCAAAGCAAAGATCAGCCACAGCTGATGGTTATTTTAGTCCTTTTACAAGGATTTTCAGTGGAGACAACAAGATTGACATTGAAAGACTCATGAGGATGCAAAGAAAAGAAAGCGCAAAGAAAAACAAGGGAAAGCCATGGATTCCATCAAACGGTTCGCACAAATTACTCGGTTTTGGAAGCTCACTGGACACATTTAGTGGACCTACACCATATTTCAAATCTACAGTGAAAACGAAACATGAAAAATTGGACCACCGCCGAAACTTTTATACATCACCAGCCAAGAAAGGTTGCGGCTCATATATCGACATCACTATCGGAAAGTTTCCAGCGTACAAAAGTGATCCGTATGATAAGCGTTCAAAGCAGGACACTGGTCAAAGTCGTCTGACTGGAAAACATTTTTACCTCAACTTGCATCCTGAGGACTATTTTGATCGAAACCCCTTCCGGCATGTAGCTGTCAAACGTGGACCACCTGACAAAACCCAGAGCCCATCCTCCTATCGGAAGAATGTATTCAAGCCTTCAAGTGGACCAAAATCAATAGGTGGATGCAAGGACGGGTGCTTTAGCCCTTTTCCTAAATACACCCCTAATAGGCCGAGAAATATGAAAAGACTAAATCTTCGAAACCTCCTCTTAAAATACCATCTTGTCCAAAGTCATATCCCATTAGTTCTATTTTGGAAGTAAACATTAAACGCCGTATCAATTCCTCTAACTATAAAGAGATGAAGACCTCTATTTTTAATGTGTAAAGGAGAAGCTACTCACTAGAATGCAAATGTAAGTCCCCATTATGTGTAGCATTCAATAACTAACACTTTGTTGTATCAATGGCCCGCGTAGCCTTGCACAACTCTCGATCTGGTCTTCTTGGTATACTTTAATGACTGATGTGTTCTGAGTGAAGCATCATTGGCAAGAAATGCTGTTTCATTGCTGGGTACATGTCAAGATTTAACCACTGCAGGAGATCATTCTGAGGTTTGCAACCCCCAGGGTTCGTATCTACGCCTGCTGTCCAGCTTACAATACTTTACCTCCTACCTCTAAATAATACCTTGTGTTTAACCTAGGGCAAGGCAAATGGTGAGGATGATAACTACAATTATTGAGAATAATACACACGATAATAAGTGCGTAACTGGACTCATGAAGTTATTAGAAATTTTGCGGTTGTATCCGTGGTTGAATATTCGAAAAGTCCGCTGTTGGGTCAAAGAATATGTTTTCACCTCAGTTGGAGGGTGAGTTAAGATTACGATAGTTTAGAACACATGGATTTTTGTCCCATAGATACACCTAGAACTCTCCATTTTTAAGTTTTGTCCATGATTCGCAATATGTCTTACGTAAGCTAGCTTATGTACACCACGGTAAAATATTGGTTTATTCTCCCTTCTCCATTCCTGAATCCAGGTCAAGTTTTCCTGTAGGTTGAAAATACTTCTTCTGCACTCACAGATCAGGTCTGAATGGGTGAATTGATAGTGCTTATGTTGTACACAACTGCCAAAGGCGTGTTCCCTTTGAACCATTGTCTTCAACTCCGTAAATTACATTGAAGGAAGATTCCAGTGGGTCTATGTCCAAAGTTGACCAAATGATCAAGAATTGAACAGTCAATTTACACCTTCCCCCTGACAACCATGCAGGATAGCCGTCAACAATATGTTTGGAAGTGTACACTCTGTGTGGCCCACATAACTAGCTCCACAGGGACAAGTGGTCAAAAGTGGCAACTTTTCCTTAACACACCCCGGAACCCGTTGCTGACTACAGAAGCTGGCCTGTAGCGTTGGAGGGACAGATGCCCTCTTCAGCGATTTGGACACCCGATTGTTCGGGATCTCTGTATTCGTATAATGTGTGAAGCCAGCGTTCATGAACGAAGTCTACTTAGAGGCTGTGAGTACTTGCTTCGTATTCTGTGTTTAATTTAGGTTTCCCCAACATAAAATGTACACTCATGCAGATTTATCGAGAAAAAATAAAATAGAAGCGGAATACGAGTAAGTACTCAGAGGTTCTAAGAAGACTATTTGTGAACGTTGGTTTCAAACATGATGTTTCAACAGTCTTAACAGAAATACAGTTCAAACGGCAGGCGATGACACGTTTTGTGAAACGGACGATTTCTATACCTGATTGCATCCTTTCACTGTCAGTCGATATGAGGACGCTCGATATGCCCTTCAGACAGCTCGGGCGTTTGAAGACTAATGACTTTACTTCGATGTACTTTCGGACACTGATTAAGCCAGCAATCACATTTCCATTTTTGACGTCAGGGCTAACTTTGACCACAAGATAAGTCGGCTAATCAGCAACATAGGGGCCCACCGATCTGAGTTAGACAAAGTATTAAGAGTACTGAGACAAGGCATTCTGGATAAAAGGCTGTGGACCCCGGCAGATGTACTACACACAAATGGGGATTCAAATGAACATGTTTGGATGTTCTACAGAGCCGATGCTAATCTGATTCCAGTGGTCAGTATATGTGTGCCACGTTAACTGGGTCATGCTTTTCGACTCCATAGCTATCTGTTGCCTCAAAAGACTCACCTTAATTATGGAGACGATCCTATTGTTACGCTATTTGTCTGGTTTCGTTGCTAAATCCGAATGGTATGTCAATGGCGCATTTCCAAATAATTTCATTGAAGCAGCGATTTGGGAAACCAATGTTTCATCCACAGGATTGAGAGGGGTTATGCGGAAAACAAATGGTTTCCCTCGGTGGGACATTCGTCAACAGGGACATGACATTCAGAGACACAATCCTCTTTACCAGAAGATCGATATTTCTGATTAGACCAGCAAAGTGAGGTATGCCACGTAGGATATGTTTTGAAATTTCATTCTTCACTAGGTCCATCGCCTTGACGAGCTATTTTACGACTGAATGCTAAGCAAAACCGGTCATATCCAGCACCGGACAGGGGGGACCTCATCCTGTGTGCGCTCTGGGTAGACCGCATGGCCAGAGATGAGGAAATGGTGGAAGGACCTGTTCAGCCAGTTCGTTGATAATCAACCACGAAATCCGTAGGTCGAGAGGCGGGGTAACAATACAATAGTTTTTAGGATCCCTCTTGGCTGACTGATTTATAGTAAAGCTGAAAAACACGACCTTATAGGAAATAATCGGCAAGCTACATATCTACGAAAGACACGCAGACGATTTCTTATCATTTGTGGTGAGAATACACACCTTGTGAAAACCTTGATGAAAAACGGTTACCCACTGAATTTCATGGGTAAGAATCTGAAGCCAGAAAAGGCTATGGAACGCATGCAAACTGTTCCAAAATTTTTAAACCGTTGAATATCAAACTCAAGGGAGATGATATGGCAGACATATTTGGAAAGAGACCAACGGGGTTCATAAACAGAATATTCCTTACTGCTAATCTTGAAATCGTGTCCTCCTGTCAGAAACTCTTTCGTCAGTATGTAAAAGTTAAGCTAGAGTATTGGGTCACATCAGTGTGTGCATATCACTTTACTTGCTCCTGTGGAGCCGAGTTCATCTGCTGACAGGTTATGTGACGCGCTGGCGAATGCCGGCCGACCCGGCTGGCCAGGGGAGAACGGATATATACCCTCAGCTCTGCAATAACATTTAGTAAACTCAGGAAATTTGGCTCCTTTTGAAAAGTCCTTCAAAACCCTGTACAAAGTCCAGCCGAGTTCCTCCACACTAGTAGGGCTAAGACATCTGTGCACGGCTGAATCATTGATGATTCAGGAGTTCTGACCATCACTATGCGTTCACAATAGGTATGTACAACCTCTTTGTTCATCATCGCCGTCGTAGAGTATTGAGCACTGAAGATAACTCCCGTACGGCGTAACTATTTTTGTTTTGTAATAATTTTGTTTACTCTCCAATTACGTAACTTTCCTCCGTGACGCAATCTATATTGATCTTCGACCAGAAATTGCTCTGAAGTTCTGTACAATGTTTGCTGCATATTCACGAGTGTACAGCTAAGATAATGATCCCGTTGGAAAGAAACTTTTTACTTCGCTTCCGTCCATTCCCTTGTTTTTCTGTAATATAATATGATTGTTTCGATATCAGAAATTCTTTTGGTTAGGTTAACGCATTCATATTCTCTTCAGATATTTCTCAGTTTAGTTTTATAAAGTTCTTGCTTTTCAAGGGAGGAACGTCGTCATGTTCTTGTAGTTGAAAGGCGGGTTGCGTTACAGCTCGAGGCGCATCTGCGTGGAAGAGCAGTTTTAATATTGAATTCGTGGCCGAAAACATTCCGACTTTTGAAAGGGCTGCCTTGTTAAAGGCCTCGCTTTCTGCTTCTCTGAAGATGATTGGGAAAGCGATGATTCCACGAGGTCTTCGGAGGCTTTTGAACTAGTCTGTTTCTGAAAATTTTTGATCACTTCTATTCCATTCTCTGACTGCCCAAAACCATCAGCTATGATATTGTGT